AAAATCGGCAATAACATTCACGCAACCGTCCGCTTCATCATGCCATGAGGATATATTCGCTGCTGCTATTATTGCTGCTGATGAGGTTGCTGCTGTTGCTGCTGCTGCCTGTAGCGATGTCAGTTCGAACGAGATCTGTGGCCCAGGCTTAGGCTATACACGGCCAATGTTGATGACACCGCGTTATGAGCCGGTTTTCAGCGAGGATGACGAGATCTTTTCGAGCATTTCGAAAAGATCTGCAAATAAACTGAAAGAGTCTCCTGCCGCTGCCGCTGCTGCTGCTTCTGTTATGATATGTTCTTCACCGATTGCTTCTGGTTTAGCTGCTGACGAAGAATTACATATAAGAAAAGAACAGATTTGGGAAGTTTGAAAGTTCTTAATATCAGAAAAAAGAAAAAATTACCGAATGGAATTTTTTTTTTGAGAACACAATCCTAAATACTAATGCAGTTATGATGGATGGCCTGCTCTGTAGGGGAAAAGAAGGGGAGTAGAAACACTTCGGAAATAATCAAAAGATCGCAAGCAGTAGACATTCGTTTTCAAGACTGTCCATCTTCCGCCAGCTTGCTTAGAACCAGGGTAAGGTCGTTTGAATTCTTACTGTGCTGAACGCACCATTTTCTTTCATTGATTCGGAACAGTGACTAGGAATTGAAGACAGCCACCGCTTTTCATTATTTTTTGTTTGCCGTCGTATTATTTGAAAAGCCAGTTCCTATCAATACTGGCGTTTTTATGTGTTTTTGTATATTTATGCAAATGCAAAAACGCATATTGTTATTATTCGGGGTACAAATAGAGACTGGATAAGTATTAAGAAAATGTATGGAAAATTTAAAAGTTATGATAAGTAACGGAGCTTGAAACGGCAAGAATATGGAATTTAGGAGACAAAAAGATAGTGGAGCTAAGGAGTGAACCGAAGATATGAGTGGGACCTGTAGAAATTTGGTTATCACATTTTTTGAAAGATTAATTGGTAAAAAATGATTCATTCTCTTTGGAAGAAAGAGACATGAGCTGGCTTTGCTACCCGATACTTAGAGTTAGTTTAGCGCTGTCGCAGGCGATTTTTCTATGCAGTTCCGTTTTTCTTGAAAGTTGTGGTACGAAAACATCTTTGAACTGATATTTCTGATTTTGAGCTGATTTTTGCGTTCACGATTGCTTTTGTTGGACTGACAGAGCGCTATTCTTTGATGCTACTCAAGTGCCTCCATAATTCCGGTCAGAGCGAAATAAGTGCGATTTGGTGGGCCATATTATGCCCACCTTTCTGTTCTGTATGTTGCCTTTCGTTCCGGTGCGATTTGCTTTCAGTTTTGGCTCATTTTTTTTTGTCATATTAATATTTTGAGCACTTTCTTGGGTTTTATTTGTTACATATTTCTTCTTATCTGTGCCTCCTACTTTCAACAGAAATTTGTCATTTACATATAATTTCCATTTAGCAACGTTTTGAGCGAAGAAAAGTTAGCATATAACTCTGCTTTTTTTTATTTCTTTAGGCTACTAAGGGTGCTGAGACAGAATGGAAATCTGGATGATCCGATGCCTTCGACCCAAATTATTCGAAACTTGTTGTAGCGAATTTCATGACGGAAGTATTTTCTGTTAATTAACGATTTAGCGCGTAATGCTGCGCACATTATAACGCTAATAATGAAGTGCGATGCGAGGTATTAATTCAGGCAATGGGTGGGCAGCTCCCCAGGATCGAAGTAACTGGTATAGCCTTATCATCCTGTGGAAGCACTCCAGTTAAATCAGTTTACCGTGGAACCCCCACATCGATTGTCCATGCAGTCTTGGCATCCTTGGTATGCGAACTTTGGGCACGAAGAAAGCCTTGTTTGGTGCTTTCCTCTTCCATTCTTAAATCTGTCTCTGATCTGATCAACTTCAGTTCTGCCTTCCGTTTTTCGTCGTCTTCATTCTCGTACCAGCCATCGTTGACACTCCTGCATGTGCTAAGCCGATTGTAGCATCCAGGTTGATCCTAGAAGCCTAATTGGCGAAGACGTGATAGAATTCAAAAAGAACAAAATGAGAATGGAAGGCAAGAATGAAATAAGACGTTTCGGTCCATTA